TCAAATTGGGGTCAAGGGCTTTCCCTCTCTCTCTCTTTTTTTAAAGTCCCAAAGGGGATTTTGATGAGCAGCAGCTTTGGGGACCACTGCCAACCTGAGTCCTTTCAGAACCCTCAGGAAAGAACTTACCGCACAGTGAAGTAGGGGAGGCTCCGAGGTACCAGAGCCTATGACACACGGTGTCGCCATTATCATAATATGCAGTATTTCCAGCCATGTGCCTGCTCAACATCTTAGATTCAGGTGGGGGGGGGGGAAATTACACCAAAGAGTTATAAAGCTGACCACTCTGGGACAGTGAGATTCACAAATTTTCCATCAAGACAAAGCAAAACAAAGGAACCATTGGATCAGTAATTGTTGTGTTAGATTGTGTGTTCTTCATGCCATTTTAGTCACATCACACCTCTGTCCCTCCTGCCATCTCACCCACATGCCTTTGTACATTTATGCAACTGTTAAGGCAGTTGTAATCACAGGATTGCATTATGTTTAGCTGAGCCTCATCTTCTTTGTCCATGGATTTGGGACCCTGTAGAGGGCAGGGAGCATGTCCCCAAGCTAAGTTTCCAACACCTGCACAGTCTTAGGATACACAGATGCTCAGTAAGTGCTATGAAACCAACAATGGGCAGCTCTTGGTCCAGGGCTTATCCTGCCACCCACAGGGCCTCTTATCTCAGGCTTGCATATGTTGATGGGCATGATATTCTGGACACAGGAAAAAATAGACTTCCCAAGTGGCATGTCCTGGCACACTGACTTCTAGGAAACTCAAATCACTCAAGAGCAAAGAATCTGGGGGATTGTGTTGTGTTCCATTGGCAGCTCTAACTCATACCATCAAAGCCAATAGTCTTCTAATTTTCATAATGCATGTTTCTCTCAAGGGATCAAGAAATACTTTGACACTTTTCAAGTGGACTCTAGTTCATCTTTTATTTTTTGTCCTGTGTTGAAATAAGGAGTGAACCTAGACACAGTAGAAAAAAAGCTCTCTGCTTGCAAGTAGATTCCTATGACACTACTAAAAAAATCTGCATAGCAAGCTTCATGCTAATAGCTTTCAGTTATGCTTGCGTAATGACACCCATGCTCCTACAGATTTGTTATGAGCCCTCTTTGCTTCCCTTTTATTATTATGCTGTCCTTTTCTTCTTTTTTAAATTAGTAATGCTTTGGAATCAACATGTAACCTGACAGGTAAATTAAAAGAAACATTTGTAAGAAGTTCTTTTCTCAACAAGGTCAAGATTGTTCCCATTATTGTTTATAATAGCTTTACTATTTCTCTATATTTTATTTTGCTTTCTTAAAATATATGATGGGGTTGTATTTTGCTGTTGTTATTGGATGAATTCTAACTAATACTGGTACTTAGTTGCATCATCAAAGCTACTGGTACTTAGTTGCACATTTAATCTAGGCTGGATATTTTGTGTTTCTCAACTGTATATCTTACACAGAACTGAAAATCATTCTTTGGTGGAGTAAGAAGATAGAGCACATGTGGTTACTTAAGTGTAATAATTGAGTATTTAGCATCTTCATATTGGCTAAATCTAACAGCTCAAATTTTTTGTATTTTTTTCTCTTTTTAGACCATTTCCTGAACTCACCTTCTATTTGTCACCATTTGTAACAGAATCTCAATGACTCCATCCAGACTCTGCCTACTGTCTGTATATTACTGAAATGAATCAACCCGGTCCATGTTGATACCTCCATGTGTCTTCCAGTGACCAAGCCCACAGTCCTTTAATCTTCCTCTGTTTTTATTTATTTTTTAATTTATTAATTTTATTTTTATCACCATTTATCCCCTCTACGCCCCTCTTCCCCCCTCTTTACCTTCCCCCATGCAATAACCACACCGTTGTAACCTGTCCATGAGTTCTCTCTTTTTTGTTCTTTCCCTCCACCCTACCCCCTCTGTTTTTAATGCATAGCTATCAAATGCATATTTGGTATGTGCTTTGAGGCATATGAATTTTAAAGAGCACTAATCCATCACCAAAAGAAAAGGGTTTAGTTTAATGCATCCCTGCAAATAATGACAGCATCCCCTCTTTATCCCTCTTCAGCGTAGACAGGATATCATTGTGAAGTACAGGTGCAGAGTGCTGGAGTCATTTTATCTTTGGTTAGTACAGAAAGGCAGTCTTTTAACTAAAGCCTGAGAATGGAGTGCATTTCTTCTATTAACCATTTATTAAGTCAACAAGCTAAGTAATGACTACATATTCCTTTCTAATATGCAGCAGTTTTATGCATTTAGCAGTATTATTCCTGGAACAGATGTGTCTTTTCAAAGTCGTCTTTCTTGCCTAGGAACAGAGGATTCCTTCTTAATTGTGTACTTGTAAGATGCAACTGCTTCAAATGGTGCTCTGAACACACCACTGAGATTGCTCCATCACTGTGCCAGGTGACACGAAGACCACAATATCATCAAGAATGTGAGCAGCCAGCTTCCACATCGAGCACCCAATTAGCTCATATTCTTCGGCTGAATATACTTCGCAGCCAATGCAGTGCTTTGAATTCAGAAGCCTTAGAAATACCTGGGAGTTATTTGAATGTGGCAGGATTAGAACTGCAAAAAGGTAGGGAAGAAGCATTTCAGAGTCAATCAGCAAACTGTAGAGTTCGACAGCAAAACACAGAAGGTTGTATCAAACTCCCCCCACGTTACTGTTTTGAATAACTGAGCACATTAACCAGTATTTTAGTCAGCACTTCCCTTTATCAATAAAAAGGAGCATTCACAAAGAATTAATATCTAAAGCACATTAGGCAACTACTATTACGTCTATGATTTCTTCAATGCTAAGTGTTAACAAAGAACCTTGTTACTATACTTTTAAAAGGCACCTATGGAAGCCTGTGACCAAGTTCATACCACTTTTTTTTCACATAAAAAGTGTAATGAGCCCTTGGGCCACCTTTAAAATACGGTTAGGTTCCTTTCCTGGAGCGGAGTTACTGTGGGATCAAGTGACTGAAAAAGGGAGGAGAGGAAAGAAACTGATTGCTCGGCAGGAAAAGCGTGGTGCTGCCGTCCGGGCCGGCCTCTCTGCCCACAGCAAGGTCATGGAAATCAGCGGGAGCCCAGGAGGTTCTTCAGCAGCAGGCACGAACAGGCGTGACCCTGGCACCCGCCGCGTTTGTCTGACGGCTGCATGTGCTTCAGCCAGCGCTCAGTAAGTGATCTGCCCAGCTCTGCTCTGCAGAGGAGGGCTCGCCCTGCAATTTCCCACTGAGTCATGAGGTCAAGTCAAAACCCCACTGATGTCTTTAAATAGTCGTGGCTCTGGCAAGCTAGTGTGGGTGAGGACACTGGAGCATGCCTGTGTGTGCCTGGCAGGGAGGGGGAGGTCTCTGGTTGCTACTGAAGAGGGAATGAAGGGGGAACTTCAGCTGCGGCCCAGTGACACTGGTAAGATCTATTTGTAATGAAAGCTCATGCACAACTGTGCTAACGAACTATAGTATCTAATGATGAGAGCAGGAATTGGCTTTCATCTTTTATGAGTGGAAAATTCACTTTGAGGTCTGTTTGGGAAATCACCTGACCTATTAATAAATTATAGGGACCCTCTTTGAACAGCTCTTAGAAGAAGATGGCAGCTCCGCATAAAACCTGCCTGTGCTCAGACCCACTGTTCCAGCACTTTGCTGCTCTTTCCCACATGGGGTGAAGGTAAGAGGTGGAGGAATTAAGGCACAATGGCTGCAGTGAATAAGGGTTTGACGGATTTCTCCCAGTCCTGTTCTTTGGTTACCGTTCTTTGTTTACTGAAACCTTGGGGCTCCGTCTAGTCTACACCATCCAGCGTGTTACCCTTACTCCAGCCCATCACTTACATTTCTCTTGAGAGGGATCTCGACTTGCTACACATTGCAGGAACCCAGGTGGGTCTCTGTCCCTTTCACCACACTGAGCTCCTTGGGAGAAGGAGCAGGGTTTTATTCCTCTCAGATTCCCAGCCCAGTGGAGTAGAGAGAGGTGCTAAAAAACATAAATTTAACTGAATTAATCCAAGGGTATTAAGAAGTTAGACAAGTCTTGGCAGCCAACCCAAATTCTGTCGATATTGTTGGCCACATTCTGTAGACGAAAGTGCCAAGACACATGAACAGTGGGCTCTCCACTGATCTGTAGGTGCTGTACTTCCTTCACTGCCACCACTTCATTCTAATTGTTTAATTCTCAATAAATAGTAAATGTCTTAGGGGCTGCTGGCTGCTGTGACAGCAGTAAGACCCAATGACCCTTGTGGCAGGAACTCTAAAATTGCTCATCCTGATGTCACATTAAGGTAACAGTTGTGTGCTTTTATAATTAAAAACAAAACAAATTTAATATTTTACAGCCTTTTTAAATGTCCACATGTGAAAGCCAAGTGGCAAATATTACCCTTCTCTGAATGTTAGAAGGGTAATTACATGTTTTATGTGGTTTGTCCATGCCTTACCTCCTTTCCTGCCATTTGGCCATTTTTTTCTCAATAATTATCTCATCTCTGAGAGGGCAAATGCAGTAAGGGAGGAGACATGAAGTTAGTAAAAGATGACAAGCGTTGGCTGGCATCTTTAGAAAAGCTCAGGGATATGACAATGGTTGCAAGAGGATTGGGAAAGAAGGCTGAAACCGCACTTAAAAATCAGTTTGTATTTATTATCTGAAAGCCATCATGCTGTTTCAATCACTCACCACCACACATAAACATGAGCAGCTTGATTGTTACTCTACAGTCATTTTAGAGACAAATTTCCTCTGATTGTTCCCCCAGAACTCGAGGGGAAAATCTGCCTGATTTGGTCATTGCCAGGAGAGCAGGCTCCAGCTTGCTCTTTGGTCCCAAGTAATGCTTGGTCCAGGCTGGTGCAGGAGCATGTCTTGCTGTTGCTACCTGGCTACAGGTTGCCAATTCAAGGGTTGAAACCAGATGTTATCAAGGCCTCATACCATACCTGGCACATACTTAGTAAATATTTAACTTTTGGATCCCATTGAATCAGACCTGCAGACCATTATTCCAAGGGTCAAAGCCCACTGCTCCTCAGGAAAACTAGAGCAATCATTTCTCTTTGGAAAAAACCAAAGTCCTGTTTCAATTTATGTTGAAAATGAGATGAACATATTATGGGGGTTCCTGGGGACATACAGAGTTAAAACAAACCCCTGCCTAGAATGGTGTTCAACTACGATTTAGCAAATATTTACACGAGCCTTGACCAACCCAAAGAACAAACAGTAAGAGGAGAAAGTTTAGACTAGAGAAGTACCCAGCTGGCAGAGTCCCGGTGGGCTGGCTACTGTTCCTGCCTCCGGCGGCCAGTCAGTTGTGTTTTTTTTCCTTCAGGTAGCTGACCAGCATCTCCAGGCCCCCCTCCACCAGCTCGGGCAGAGGCTTGGCTAAAGGGTTGTGGGAAATGTGGAGCCCTTTGTCCATGGGATTCCAAGCAATCCTCGGCAGTCTGCACAGCAGGTAGAGCTCATCGGGGAGGGTCTGGATGTCATTGTCATTGAGGTTCAGCAGCTCGAGGCTGGCGAGCCGGCAGAGCGACCGCGGGAAGGAGTGGATGTTGTTGTTCTCCGCGATGAAGATCTGAAGGCTGCTCAGGCACTGGATGCTCTCGGCGATGTTTTCCAGGCGATTGGAGCCCACGTGCAGGAAATCCAGCTCCTTCAGCGCAAACACGCAGATGGGGATGTGGGCAAAGCAGTTGTTGCTGAGGTTCAGCTTCCTCAGCCTGGAGAGGTCGGCGAGGCTGGCGGGCAGCTGCGACAGGCGGTTGTGCGACAGGCTCAGGACTTCCAGGCCCCTGCAGGCGCCCAGCTCGGCCGGCAGCTCGGCCAGGCAGTTCATGTTGGCGAACAGCACCTTCAGGCCCCTGAGGAGGCTGATTTCCTGGGGCAGGCTCTTTAGGTGGTTCCCGCACAGGTTCAGCACCACCAGCCTGGTCAGCCTCCCCACCTCGGGCGGCAGGACCCGCAGCTGGTTGTGAGACAGATTGAGCTTCTGGACCTCGGACAAGCCCCACAGAAAGTCGGGGATGTCTGTCATTCCCTTGGTGACCAGGCTGAAGCTGATGTGGCGCATGCCCCGCTTCAGCAGGGACCGGGGGTCCTTTCCCGAGAGGAGGGCATCATCCCATGGGGACAATTTCTGCCTCCTCCGCAGGCACGCCATCCCCCCGGGGCCTTTGTCCTTGGAACCGGCACTCGACTGCCTGGCCCCCATTACTTTCCTCTCCACCCTCTTCCCCTGCTGCCCGAGGGTTGGGATGGGGCCTACCCCAGCTGAAAGCCTGGCTGTCGCAGTCAGGGAGCGCAGGTGGCGGCGAGAACAGGAGGCGGCCAGGCAGGCCAGGCCGAGGACGCTCGCGGGGGCCTGGGTCAGATGTCCAAGGCGCCTCGCCGAGGCCACGGGACAGGCAGCGAGTTCAGATGGTTTCCCTCTGGGCAGCAGGGCTGTAATGATATACTTGTCCCTGGGCTGTGGAACTGAACCGCTTCAGTCCCTCTGTTTGCTGCAAGGCAGCTGTCACTGTCATTCTGCCCGGTTTACCAGGCTGCTGTGTGCAAACAGGTCGCAGGGAGGCCTTATGTAACTCTCCCCTCTCAGCTTCTCTTGGGTACCACAGCTGAGCAGGGCGATTAACAAGCCCACCTCCAAAAAGCCAAGTGGAAAAATAAAGCGGGTCATGCAAACATCAGTCTACATGGCTCCCAGACTCATCCGGACTCCACAGTGAAACTGGACTATATCCTAGTGACAGAGTTTTCGTTTCCAAAACTAAGGATCATCAGACGATATTATACTCACTCATTTCATATTTGGGTGAATTGTGTAGTTGTGGGAAATAGATGGAAGTGGCCTGGACACCTAGAACCCTCCAGGCCACAGTTTTACACAGTGCTTGTCAGAGGTGACTCAGTGAGGATAGAAGGGAGGGGTCTGTACCTCCACTCCCATTCCAACCAGAAAAGCTCTGGGGTCTTCTGTTTTACAGGGGTTCTGAGTTTAGTAGGGTGCATGCACTTTAAATGCCCGAACCACCTCTAAAGTGACTGCCTTAGTAAGTGAGCACAGGGTGCCCACTGATCTAAAAAAATAGTATAGAGAGACCTCCTTGGGTATGTACCTCTCTCTCTTTCCCTCTCTCCTTCTCTCCCTCTCCACCTGCCCCACTCTTGAATTTAAAAAAAAAAAGTTAACTTATACCCTAAGTAAATAGCATAAATAGTTGGTGTTGTGGGCTTGTGTTTCCTCCAAATTTCAAATGTTGAATTCCTAACCCCCAGTACTTCAGGATGTGACTGTTAGGAGATTGAGCCCTGTGAGAACATGGGGAGAAAACCACCATTTGCAAGCCAAGGACAGAAGTCTCAGAAGCAACCAGTCCTACTGACACCTTGAACTTGGATGTGTACCCTGTGGATTTCTGTTCTTTAAACCACTCAGTCTGTGGTGCTTTGTCCCAGCAGCCCTGATACGGCTGGGAGGAGGCAGGGACAGGCTTAGGTAAAAAATTATAAAAATAGGCAGTGATTAAGGAGAGAAGCGATATCAGGGCTGGTGACTCAGGTTCTAAGAAAGGGGTTTGCAGCCTGAAGTGAGGTCTGAGTTGGCCAGGAATTCTGTGGCTTTTGCAGGCAGCAGCCTTGTGCTCAAACCCCGGCACAGCAGTTGTGTATCCTGGAGAGAGATGCTGGTCCAGTGACCATGGTCTCAGAGTCTAATCACCAAGCCAGAAGCTGGAGCTGGGCCCTGACTGGGCACTGCCTGGGGAATCTGCGGGCCCATCCACTGAGTGGCCAGTGTTTGGGCAGGAGCCGCAGCAGGAGGTGTAAAGCAATGAAGGCCATTTCTCACTCCATTTAGGATTTGAAAGAGGTCTGACCCCTTTGGACTGAGTAAGCCCCTGGAAATCTTGGGCAAAGGTGGAGACTTTGGATTTTTTTAATGGAATACTTGAATGTTCTGTTAATTGGAGAGGGGGTAATGTAGCTAAATTTGTACCTTAAGTTTTTGGAACAAACCATGCCTTATATATGCATATGACAGTAAAGTTCTGCTGTTTTAGAAAAAGTTAACTAGGCTTCTTTCCCTTGTTTCTTTCATGAACATGAGAAATTATGCTAGAGCTCCTGAAATGTGGAAAATAGTAGGAGCTAGAATGGTTTGAACAAGGATCGACAGCTTTCTTCTTTGTGGCAGTTCCCTCTTTTCCTCTTAAGACATTTTCTCCAATAACAACTTTTTGAGCATTTATCAATAGCCAACATTTATTGAATGTTTACTATGTGAAAGGCATTGCGCTAGGCACTTTACATGCAGGGTGGAACTATTAAAATTATCTTTATTTTACAGATAAGGAAGCAAAGATAGGAAGAGGTCAAGTAACTTAAGCAAGATCAAGTCACTAGCCCAAGTTCAAGTACCTGTCTAGTCATATAGCAGAAACAGAATTCGAACCCAGTGAGTCGGGCTCTACAGCCTGCTGGAACCATAAGAAGACTCTGGGCTTAGCTCTGTAGAAAGATGGAATAACTATGGCTAGATTATGTTTTTTCCTTTTCAAGTTGCTAAAGGTTAGGTCTGGAAAGACCATAGGTAAAGAAATGACTGCATAACTACATAGGTAGGCATTAACCCTGCTTTCTCTGCCCCATCACAGCTAGGAAAAGCAAAAGTTAAAATATCATTCCAGAAGACCTTGACTTAATGGATTTAATCCCCTCCAGAAATAGTTCAGTTCTTCTCTAGTGAGGTTCTCATATATCAAACGGACAAGTGTGTGAATCGCTGACTTTATTTCTTCTAATTTTTTGAAATGCAGATACTGTCCACTTAGTTAATCATGGTTGTGCAGTCAGAGCACGGGTCACCTAGAAGACTGTCCTGGTCTCTCAGTCCCTGTCCTCATCTATGAAACAGGCCTTTCGGGGGGGATGATTTCCCAGGGGCCCTTCTCACTCTGCAAGTTGGCTTCTCACTACCCATGGAACCACTGTAGGGAAGTGTAAGTCACATTTAACCTCTTTTCTGGTGAAAGCATGCAAAATCCAAGGCAGCTTTTATTTTGCTTACATTGATATTGATCCCTGGGGAATAAATAGTAACAGGGCTCCCTACCTCTCTCCTTTCCTCCCTTCCTTCCTCCTTTCCTTTCTTTTTAAATAAACTTTTTATTTAAAAAAAACCCAAAACTGTACCAGGGAATGCTGTTGGTTTTAGGATTCACTATGGAGACCACACATCAGACTTTTCCTCAAAGAGGCTTTTCAAGACTCTCTGAGTGGACTTCAGTTTGGCATGAGTCTCAGAGTGAGGCACTGCTGGACGGAGGTTTGAAATTCCAGGGCATGGTGTGTACTGCGGCTGTCTTTAAAACCTAAGGAAGCTATGTAATAATTGAAGTGTATTTGGTGCCCTCCATGCATTTACTACATTTTTGTATATTCCAATTAATGATAATTCCAACATATAAAAATTGACATTTATTATTTTTTAATCCTAAGTAAAATAAAACTAAAATAATGAGTATATGAGAGTATAAAATGGTAGGTTTTAAAAACATCCAAAGCTGCTCCTGAATTCACACTAATGGAATATCTATTGAAAACAATTCCTTTTATTATTGCGATGGCTTTTCAGTTTAACAGACATGTCATATCTGTTACTTTTGGAAGAAAGAAATGTGTGTGTTTAAAAAATTTATTAAAATAACCATTTTACTGATTTAAAATTTCTTAAGTAGAAAATATAGAAAAATATGAAGAAAGATAATCCAGTTAACATTTTGCATATATAAATCTAGATATTTTTCCTATGCCTATCTTTGTCAATGTATTTTCTTTCACATACAAACACAAATTTTTTTTCACTTGTCTTAGTCCAGATTTCCTCAAAAGCAGAGCTTGAGGCAAAAGCTACGGGGCTAGTACAATCCAGGCAAATAAAAGTAAGGAGGCTGGAAAATCAGACAAGGAGGTAGAAGAGATAAGGGCCATGCATCCTGAGCTGGCCTCATCTTTGCATCAAACACAGTCTGTTGCCAGGTTTTGCAGACATCTGCAGAGAGGCTCTGTTAAACCACCATGTCTCAGAACAGCCCATGGTTAAGCATCTGTAAGTTGCATGTAATGACAAAATCCAAAGTATATAACAAAATCCCCTAAACCATGGTTATTGGTGGTATGTGACCCACAGTACAGTGATGGTAAATGATATATTTTACATGAACGGTAGATATTATACACGAAAACCCCACACACATACACATGCCCCTGGCTGCATTTACTGAACATTCTCCACGTGTTGGATTTTATTTTGTCCTTGTACATGAACTTTACACTCTCTTCAGGGCCAATTAATGCTGTATTCGTGAAGCACTCTTATTTATCTTTCACTCACCTTACATTTACAGAGTATTTACTGAGTGTCAAGAGCTATTTTAGACAGTGTTATTTGGTCTACCTGACTTTCATAAGACTCATAAGGTCAATATTATTAACCTCATGTTAAATACGGCGAAGCCAACCTTCAGTGGGGTTGACTTATGCTCCAATTACAAAACTAGTTAGTATCAGCATTATTATCGAAACCTGGTCTTGTAATCTAACTCCTGTTCTCCTTCTACCATGTGAATAACTGGCTTTGCTCTGCACAGATTATTTTCTTAGTAACGCGGCTTATTATTACTCTGATTAGAACATGTCCCAGCCTTCCAGCTCACAGCATCCATATTGAAAGGTAGCAACAGCCTGGCGGTCAATGCCATTAGCCCAGGTTGCTGTGTCTGACCGTCTTAGGTTTTCATCCTGAGTTTATTACTGAAAGGCTGTGTGAACTTGTCTGTATTTCCATTTCTTCATATGTAAAATGGAGATCATCGTAGTACCTTATGAGGCAGTTGTGAGGCTTAAATGACTTAATACACATAAAATGCATAAAACATGTCTCTGTAATGAACAGAACAGTCCCCATAGGTAGCTCATGAATGGATACCTGATGGCCCACTGGGAAGACAGCCAATTCCACTCCAAGAGCTCAAGTGCAAGGATCTTCATCAGCACAGGGTGGGCCTGGCTCTTTTCTTTCCTGAAAACTTCCTTAGTCAATCAGCAGGCAATCTGCTCTTCCTAGGGAAAGACATGCTTTGGAGGTGAGAGGTTCGGGGGCAGGTTGTCAGGCAGAGTTAAACTGAACTGCTTTTCTCTGTATGTCAAACTCCTCTTCCCAAATCCTTTCTCCTCAGGTTTGTTTACTGTCTCACTCTGTTCATTCAGCTCACATTTGCTGCTGGCTCAGTTAGATTTCAAGCTCCTTGTCTCCCCTAGAGCCCTCGAACAATTCTCAGGACACAGTAAGTGCCCAATAAACGATTCCTGAAAGAACAAACATTTGGGCCCCAATGAAAGTTTGATCTGAGAAAAGAACAATGCAGAAGGCACTTGGGCCCTGACCAGGTAGCTCAGTTGGTTATAGCATCGTCCCTATATGCCAAGGTTTTGCGTTCAGTCTCCCCAAGGGTTCAATGACTGTGCATTTAGGCCTTCACAAGATTTAATTATTTAATATTGTAATGGATTTTAAATAACTCTTAAAATAATTCAAAAAAATGGAAAGAAGTCTTAAGTACTGAAAAGGCTTAAAATTTCTCAGTTATATATTATGTCCAGCTAAGTAAACTTTATTTCCACTTTAACACATGTCCTAGGGTCACATATTCTCACCTTCTATGCTTTTCCCCTTGCAAACTCCCCCGAGGCATGCAGGCCTCTTTCTGGAGGGCACTAGACTGGGTCCTACACCAGGACCTGCATTCCCCAGCGTGGAGCTCACATCTTTGCAAATCCCTGTGCACTGCCTAGAGCCCCAGCTAAGTTCCTGATGGTGGGGCTTGCCTAGGGGACTGAGAATTCAGAGGATGTTGATGACCCTCTTTGGAGGCTGTAAACCACAGAGTGGTTTCCCAACCTCCTGTCTGGTTGTTCTACAGGATGGTAAGTCCAGCAGAGAGCTCAGAACCAACCAAGGGGCAGGGAAGGAGAAATTTTTAAATTTGATTGAGTTTAAACCCAAAATTATTGCAAAATCTCTGATTTTAATTGCATTTGTGTGGATGATTTTGTATGGGTTTTTAGCTTCCAGTAAGCTGTGAGAGCTTGAGATAGACTTCAGTTTGGTTATAAGAAAACAAGAAATTTACTTTTTGCACAGCTCATTTTGACTGAAAATCATGCATACTCTATCTACAGAGTTTTTTAAAATTCAAAAACGAAATTTATGAAAACATTATGGGAAAGAAAGCAAAACATGTTTTTTTGAAAGGAAAAGAAAATCAACCTTTCCATGGTTCATGGCTCTGTAAAGA